GTCGTCGTCGAGATGGAAGTACCGCGTAGCGATACAAACCTGAAAGCGGGCAATTGGATGGTGGGGTTGGATTTCCGGGGTCCTACAACAATCGGCCAGGGTGTCAAGCATCTGCTCGGATGGGATGAGGAGTGGAGCGTCGAAGACCACAGTCAAGGCGGTACACCTGGTGCTACGGCGGAGAAGGTCGTTACAGAAGGTGCTACGAGTGAAACGCCTACCGTACTAGCCAGAAGTCGGAGACCAGTGCTTCTTACGTACCGAAGTCGGATACTCGAGATCATCTACAGGCTCATGCGGCTGCCATTGTATCTTATCGGCTGGCACACAGAGTCGGAACACATCGAGATCAGCATGATGGAATCAGTCATGTTCGAATCGGGATATCGCAACATACCGTCGTCGCTTCGCTTGGAAATACGATCGAAACTGCCTCTCGAAGTCTACCGCGCCAGCGTACGCATCAGCGCCAGATTGGAAGGGTTCCGCTGGCTAATGTACCGATACTGGCTCACCAGCGCCATAGTCGGCATCCTCACCTTCTGGGGCATGGAAATGGCTGTCTTGCTCTTTACATGGGGTATTTTTACCCTGCTGTTCAGCAGTCCCAGTTCCGATCCCGCCTCGCACGAGGACGCGCAACACCAGAAAATCAAGAAAGAAGAAGGCGAACCCTTCCCCAAACTCGAACACGGAGACAACACAGAACCAGTCACACCGTACAGCGACACAAGTCGTACTTTCCCCACTCTACCTTCTCAACAACCGCTCTCGTATAGCTCGCCCAGTCCGAAAGAAGAACGGGGTGAGATTAGGCTGGAAGATATTCCTACGAGAGAGGAACAGGAGGCTGATGATGAAGAGGATGATGATTTTATACTGGAAGAGCCGGTGCCGAGGGGGGTGGAGAGGGAGGGTGTGTTTACGGATTCGGGGATTGGGACTAGTTTGGAGAGTAGTGTTGAGAGGGGGCTGGCGAGGCGGAGGAGTGGGAGGGGGAGTGGGAAGGATAGGGATAAGGATGGGGGTTAGTTGCCGATGGGGGGTAATGGTAGTGGTAGTGGTAGTGGGAGGGGAATTTGGAGGGTCAGGAGGTGTGGAGCTTGTGAGGCGAGGGCTGCGAGGAAGATGCGGTGAGGGAAGTTTGTGTGCTGTGGTAGGGGTTGTGTTGTAGGTGATATATCCATTCCTCTGTATTCATGCTATCTATGTCCCCTGGGTACCTCTTTCATCCCTCAGATATCCGCTCCTCATGGCACACCCAGCCTCTCTCAAATCTCCTTATACACCGGTACAATTCCCTCAGGACACATTGGCATCTATAATCACAACCCGTTAGTCCATCTCTCCATACTGAAGGGGAAAAGAAAACAACTTACATAGATATTATCATTACAATAACTCGCACACCATTGAGGCATTGGAGCTCCCTGTGCCCATTTGTACCATAACGGGTCGCAGATGTTGCTGCATGTGTAGATGGAGCAGTAGGGTGTTGGGATACGAAGTTTGGGTGGCGGTTGTACTCGAGCCACGTCCTTGCGTTGGTTTGGGATGTAACTGAAATTTGGGGGTGAGGTGCCGATGGCGCAGAGGGGAAGCTTTGGGCTTGTGTTAATTTTGTTCTTCATAGTATCTTTTTTGTTGGAAAAAGCTTAGTTGGTTGAGAAAACTTACATCCTTGTCCCCCTGGCAGAGCGCATGACACATGTCTGGACTAGATTGGCAGGCGGATTTGCAGTTTACAAGCGAACACGGAGTGCCGGATATGCTGCTGTGCTGTTTGGCTTGTGAGGCTAGTGGGCGGGCGGAGACGGTGAGCAGGGTGAGGAGGAGGGCGGAGATTGTGAGCTTCATCTTAATGGTGGTTGTGTAGTTGGTGGGTTGGGGAGGTTTTGTTGAAGTTTCTTTGGAAAAGTTGGAAGTTGGTCAAGATGGTCGAGTCTGTGATGGTTGATATGGAAAGAAGAGAGAGGGATGCGTAGGGTTATATAGTTCCTCAGCAACTCAAGATCAAATTTTGATGTTCATGAGATGAGCGGGATGGAGTACCGTGCCACTTAACTTTGGTCAAGTGATTTAGCACCCTGGATCTTGCCATTGCTTGCGACACGAAGTTGTATCAATTTTCGTTCGATTGATTGCGTTCTATAATAGATGCGTTCTGTGTGGTTGGAGAAAAAGATGTGTGCTGAGGAACCCCGGTTTAGGTGCCCAAACCAAACTTGAACTGTGGTGACGAACAACAACAACGGGGCTGTCGAACAGAGCGAAAAAAGAGATCGAGACCCCTTGGTTCATGGACTCACGTTAATCTAGGACAAAACTGGATAGATCTGCAGCCTACGTTGACACAAAGATACGCAAACTAGGTGGCCTAACGTCGATGTAGGCTCTAGGCCTGTTCAGTTTTATTCTTGTATGAGGTTTACTTAGGAAAAGGGCTGCTGCCGTGGAATACACACGAGAAGTGTTGCTGTTGCAGATTGAAAGGTTGAAAGCTTTATCCTAGTAGCAGGCGATGCAATGTGGTAGTTGAATTCGATGTAGCAGTCCGACTTAAAAATTTGATATATGACCAAAAGAAACGCTATATACAAAACCCTCACATCTACCTAGATCAAAAACCAACTACCTATCACAGTCCCAACCACCAGCCTAAAGCATCGGCCTCTCACTCGCCGGATCCTGCCCCCTAGCAAACTTCCTCTCAATCCTCTCCTTGCCCTTCTGCATATACCCCTCCACCTCCTCAAACCGGATCTGCGTCAACCCCGTCTTAACATCCATCTCACTCCTCTCAACCGTCTTCGCCTTGATAAACACGCCATTACACGCCATCTTCTTCCCATCAACAACCTCTTTACAGAACTTGGCGTACTCGCTGAAATGCACAGCACTGCTCGGAACACTCTCGAGCAACATGGCGAAGCAATGCGGCATAGCTTCAAAGTCGCGCCACACGACTGTTACACCCTGCGCGACGCACTGTTGTGCCATGACGGCATCTTCATCTCTGAGCATTTCTTCGCCGATGGAGAAAAATAGCGGTGGGCTTTTGCTCCAGTCTTTTGCGATGAGCGGGGATACAAGCGGGTGCATCAGCGCACTTGCTTCGGCGTAGAAATCTGCGCGTGGGGGATCCGACGGCCATACGCCTTCGTCTTTGGGGAATTCTCTTGCGTCGGTTGAGCTGGGTGGGGGGAGGTAGTCGTATGTTACTGCACCCTCGATAGAAGGTAAACTACGCGTGATATCGAGCCAAGGAGACGCTAGGGCTACACCAGCCGGAAGAGGGATGTCTACTTGCTTGCCGTGGAAATTGACACGAGGGGTTTGGCCAGAGGGCGTGCTGCGGTGGATTTGAAGGAGCAGTTGGAGGAGCGCCGTGCAGCATGTTCCGCCGGCTGAGTCGCCTCCGAAGACGATTTCGCTGGCGGGGACGGGGTCGTGGAAGGAGCCTGGGGGTGGGTGCAGGAGGGAAAGGTACGCTGTGAAGCAGTCTAGCAAGGCGGAGGGGAAGGGACCTTGCGGTGAGAGGCGGTACCGAACAGAGAAGACGCGGCCGCCTGTTTCTTTCGCTAGGCGACCCGTTAAGGGCCGTGATGTCGCTGGGTCAAGGAGGTACATTGCGCCACCGTGGAAATAAAGAAGAGTGACTTTGCTCGTCGTTTCTCTCATGAGATTCTCGTATTTATCTTTTTCGCTCATTTCGGCGGGTTCGGGTTCGTCGTCCTTTGCGTTGGCACGGTGGCCGTCCCATTCTGCTTCTAGAGGTCGCTGCTCAGGCTTCGTCCATTGCTCTCCTCCGGTGCTCATGTCGTCGATGGCTTTGAACATTATTTGTCGGATGTCGTCTTCTTGTGGTACGTCTAGTTTGACTTTGCTAACCCAGATTTTGCCCTTGACGCCTGGGTCTTTGCAGGTTAGACGCTGTAGCTTTGAGATGGGCGTTGGTGTTGAGTTGGGGCCCATCATGTCGCGGAGCATGTTGACTGTGATTTCCGTCTTCAGATCCCACTTTGAACTCGTCGGCGACATGGATAGAGAGTGCCATAGTGCTGTTTTCAATAGAAACGGTGTTTTGGGCAGGAGAAGCTTGAGCAAGGCTGAGGGTGAAGCGTCCATGTTGGTGATGTTCCGCGGAGGCGTTGACTCAGGTCCTAGGTCTCGATGACTGTGAATGTGATTGCAAATCACACTTTTAGTCTTTTGGAGGTTGGAAAATTGGATTTTTGAGGCTGCCAGGCTATACTCGAGGTTAAAGGAGAGAAGGAAGTCACTTTAGTGGCAAAGAGGTGGTCTTGACGTCGCGCTACTAGATCAACGCGGCATATAACGATGCCTCGGCACGAGTCATGATCTCATGCACGATATACGGTCTATACGCTTACGTGGGGGAATCTACGAAGACCCGCAAGCCGCAGCGATTGACGCTAGCTGTCCATCCAGAAGATCAATCTTTCTCTATGTCTTTGGTACGATAAGATGTTGATTGCATATATTGAAGACGAGACCTTCACTATCACGCCACCCTTCTCCCCCACCCAACCGGACTCCATCGCTGGCGGTAGTGCAAATGATCAATCACATGTCACAGCGTCTACACAAAGTCTTCAATCTTTGATCCATGATCGAAGAAACACGTTGCGTTATTGTCTAATCATCGATAGTATTCAAGTACTATGCGCATACCTAGGTAGTAATAATGTGTTATGCGGGTTAGTGGTATCTTCCCATGTCGCCTTGTACCAACCAAACGCCTAATACCTCAATTCCCTAAACAGACGATACTGTAAGCCATATCCTTCTTCTTCGTCCCAAAGCGTGGTTCGTGTCCATGGCAATCCATTCGCCAAGGAGCCAGCAGTCTCGTCGTCGATCATCGAATCACGACGAGAGCGTTGAGCTTCTGGGCCTGGCGATGGTGGTTTCCGATAATGGATCCTGAAGCCGGCGCGCTTGGCCAGGCTGATGATATTCCGTCCTTGAAGTGTCTTCTACCCATCCAATTCACCCTCTTCACTGCCCCTCTCTGTCGCGTTGCCATCGCCCGTGCCGTTGGCAGGAGGTTGGCTTTGGCTTGTCGCTTGTACGCCTTCCATACCGTCGGGCGTGTCCCCAAAGTCGATGCCGTCCTCTGGTGTCCGAAGCCCTGCGTACATGGACGGTTCTCCATCTTTGTCTGGCGACTTCTCGTACAAATCCGCCATGAGGTTGCATGCTCTCCGGATGTCGCGCAACTGGACATGTTGTATCTCCCACCATGGCTTTCCGTCGTCATCCCCTAGCTCTACCTCCGCCATACGCGCGCCGGCGTACAGCGATGCTGCGGCGATCGCTCGCGACGTGAACAATAGGCACATCTGTGTGGACGTCGAGTCGGAGAGGAAGGCCCAGGCTGAGTTGCGCAGCTTCTTGTTATGCTCGACTCCGTAGTACTTCATCATGTCGTACATGGTCTTGTATGGTGATTCCACGTTAAGGTCGAAGCACAAGGCCTCCAGTAGGACATCTTCGCTGTACAGGATTGTGTCGCGCCATTTCCAAAAGTCTTTTGTCTGCTCGTCGACGAGCTTGTTGGGATCCTTGAGCGCGACCCGGACGCATGAAACAACGAGTTCTTTCATTTTGCGACAGTTTTCTTCGACTTTGGTCGCGAGGAATAACGCGGTTGCGGCGATTTGCTGGTAAAGTCAGACGCGTCCATATCGCATCTATCAGGAAGGGGGACTCACATAGTGGTGTAGTGGCTTATACCCCGGCCGCGGCTTCAAACTCATTCGCATCAGGTAGCGATTGAAGAAGACGGCCGCTGTACTAAGCGTAGTCTGTGGTAATTTGAGCATCATGCCCACCTGCAATATAAACCCGACACCCTTCCGCCGTAGTGTGCGCTCCTCCTCAGCGGGCATCCCATCGCATATCGACGGCGCCAGTAGCAGTTCTTCTTCGGTGAAAATCCACTGCATCTCGGCTTCGATGACGGCCGGCGGTGGCGGTCTGGGGGGCTCACGCTGCGGCGCCATCGCGCTGCTGGCGGTCGATACCATCACCGAGGGTTGTAGCACTAGAGGTTGTGTTTTGATGCGCGATAGTGGTGGTACAGATGGCGCGCAAAGGATATGTTCCGATCCGGTATGGCGTCCCCGTCGTCGCTGATGGATATGCTAGACGACAGTTGCAGAGTGCGGTGAGGAGTTTTCAAGTGGCGTGAGAATCTGCGTGTGGTCGGGTGAATAGTGAAAGGTGACAATAGCAGCGGTATTGTCCGTCGAGGCGCAGCCATTGAAGCTTGAGAGCTGCAAGGGCCAACGGCTCTCTTCCGCGGCGAGTGCAGGGATCACTTCCGTCAGCCTCCACCACCCCAACATTGAAGGCTAGCAGCACCACGTTTGGCGACCCCAGAGCTGCGTCGTTCCCGAAAGCTTGTATACTGTTAGATTGTCTGGGCATGAAACGGATTGAGCATGTTTCAAGCAAGAGAGACTCAAACGCCGTTTCGAACTGTCAAGTCGCACATGAAACTACTATCAAATGTCAACTGTGAGAGATCTATTGTACCTCGTCCTCTGTGAGAGAACGCCTTGACCGTTCCTAGTCGTGCCATGTTGTTTTTAGGTACAATTAATATTACATAGGTGAGTCAACATAAGATAGAGATAGTTTGACCGCAACCCCAGAGGTCTATATCCGACCCGCCATACGCGCCGTGCAATGCTGGAAGTGTGCATCTTGCTCAAGATGAGTAGAACGCTTCGAATGTGTAGATAATACCGAAAACGAGGAAAGCAATCGCCCCACCCAGCGTGACTGTCACGAGTTAGCATTACGTCAAGAAAGAGGGATTGGACATGCTTACCATTGCGCATGCTGATCTTTCCAGCAATGGCGCGGCCACCGATGACTGCACCTGCAGTACACAGTCCGTGGCCAACTACAGCGCCGGCAGTGACATACCAGTAGTCAGACCCAGCAGCCATAGCAACAGTCGCGATCTGACTGCGATCACCCCACTCTCCGAGGAAAGTCATAACAAATGTCTGTACCCACGCAGGGCTAAGGAGGAGAGAAAATAGGTTGTTCACCGCGCCCAAAGTGCCGCTCATGGAGCCTCCGCGCGGTGAAGGCATTCGGTCCGGGGAGCTGGAAGGGCTGCGGGCGGGGGCAGGTAGTCGCGAGTTGGATCGGGAGCGTCGCACACCACGACCAGACTCGAGGGCATAGGGAGAGATGGAGGACTTCCGGCGGTTTTGGTGTCGGGCAAGCTGTTCCTTCTCTTCAAGTTCCTGCTCGACTTCAGCCATTTCCTCGCCCACGCCATCGTCTGGGCTCATAGCGAGACCCTCTCTTATAAGGTTGACACCGAATACAAGGAAAAGAGCAGCCGCAGCGAAGTGTGTGAAGCGTTCCGAGAGGAGCGCGGGGACGGCGTGGCCCATGACAGCAGAAAGAATTGTCATGACGACCAGAGCGGAGTAGGCGGCAGAGAAGACGAGGAGTCGAGGGTGTCGCATAGCCATGAGCGCCGCAACGAGGAATGTTTTGTCACCGATTTCCGAGACGATAATCATGGTGAAAGCGAGAATGAAGGAATGGAAAGGTTGTACAGCGCCGGCGTCAACATCGTCGAGTGTCGAAGAGGGTGTCTTGGGCGGTGAGGTGTCTAGGGGATCTTTGGTAGAGACGGAGCCTGGAACAGGAAGAGGATTATCGTGCAGGGAGTCAGGAAGGTCGGTGGGTTTCTATAGTTCAGTTAGTACAGTATTATCAGCTTGAAAGCATCGCGGCTCACCTCAAGTCCGCCAGCACCAAGCACACGAGTGGTGCTTGCAGTCTCTACAGCGTCTCCGCTCAATTGCTTCTGGTCAGCAGGATGCGCGGGAGCCTCCTTTGGCGATTCGGGAACCTGCTCCATCTTCTCGCCCGTCTTCTCCTCGTGTGCCAATCGCTCCTTGTCCTTTGCCGACACTCCTCCCTCGGTGCCTGTGCTGCCAGTGGCCGGTTTCCGTGCCGGGTCCTGCATGACACTCTTGTCGCCATCCTTGACGTCGTCTACAAGAACAGTCTCCGTAGAAGCGCCAGGCTTCTTTGCCGCCCCGAGATCTTCTACAACGTTGGGAGCCTTCTTCCCTTTGTATTTTGGATCGTCGTCCACGTATGGCCCGGCGTGGGGCTTGCCGTCTAGCCCATCGACGGGCGCATCCTTCGTTCCTTTCGGAACCGCGGTCGGGGCGAGTGAGGCATCAGGCGAGTAGGTGGCTTGGGTGTAGGCTGGCACAACGGCCCGCGCGACGGGCTTGTCGTCTGATGTGTCTGCGGCAATGGATGTGGCGAGAACTCGTAAAGCGGGTAGGAGGAGAAGCAAAGTGTGCGGTCGTGGCTGTCGTAACCTCATGATGAATGCGATTCGAAGGAGAGCAGGGGTGCGGTGCGGCGAAGGCAAGAAACGTCAGCGGTAAAGGGAAGCGCACAGAGATAATCCAAGGGCTGCAAAGAGTGACGAGAATAGAAGAGGTTGTTGTGAAGGAAACGTGGATGTTTCGCCAAGTTTTATTGAACAGAACGGTGTAGGGGTCACTCTGATGTTGAGGCGTGTAAAGCAAGTCGAAGACGACCGAGATGCGCGCAAGGGGTGCGTGCAGACAGCCCACGTAATATATCCACGCCTACGTAAACCACAACGAGGGCTAGTTAAGGGGCCTTTCTGTCCGGAAGCCTGTGGGGAAGACCGGAAACATGGTGCAAATGCCGTGGTTCCGTCTCGAACTCAAACGCTTCGTATTCACATCCGTTCTGCACAGCTGGCCCCTTCTCCGTGCTGCGCCTTGAATGCTGAGGCCCACCCAGGCCCCGAACGGCGATCCACGACACTAGTCACGTGAGCACCCGTCGAGTCGCCTTAGTCAGCCACCATCGCGGCCGTTGGCGTAAACAAGCCCGCATCCGCATCAACGCTACTGACATCACACCTTCACCCAACCTACGTCGCATGTAATACCAGCCGAGTCCACGCGTTCCTACGACACTATCATGGCCGACCGCAGAAGTGTGCGGTCTGCAAGCCGGCGCAAAACACCTACTCCACAACCACCGGCCAATGCGCCTGCACAACAATTCGGACGCGCATCGCGAGCGAGAAGTTTGCGCAGCGCCAGTCGCGATGTAGAAGACTTTATCGACATCCAGAAGCCCACACGTCGAAGCGCGCGACAAGCGAGCGTGACTACGAACGATGGAAATGAACATGAGGCACCAAAGGCGCGCAACTCAAAGCGCAAACCTGCGAAAGAGGTGTTGGGAGGTTAGTAGCCACGGCCCAGTTGCTCGCTTGCGCAGTTCCAATTAGCGCAATATTCACTACTGGCTAGACAGAGCTCAAGCTAATTACGCATGCGCCAGACCTCACAGTGGTTAAGGAAATAGACACCGAGATTGCCCTTGAGGAAGACGAAGTCCCAGGTACACCAGCGCGCACCGAGCCTGACGTAACCTTCCGCTCACCGGGCGCCGCCTCCGAGATGTCCGGAACCACTGCCATCACCTCCTTCAGCATGATAGAGGCCGAATTCCTGGAGCCCAGATACATCGTCAAGCATCTGCGCAAGCTATGCGAGGCTACAGAGGATTTTCTGGAGCACATTGCGCCGAATCATGCGGCAATAGACGATGATCTGCAAAACATACAAGAGATGCGAAAACCCGGCTCAGTCTACAGCAAAGATTACCAGGACTTCGAAGACGAACTGAACACGCAGTTGAAGCATTACAAAGGCGAAGAACACAGCTACATACACATCAGAGCAATTCACCGCGCTCTTTTTGGGACAAGTGAGGATGTCACAGCATCACAGAGTGGCCTCGATCTGATCCTCTACCTCACCAATCTACTGGTGTTAGCGAAGCAGATAATGCATTCAGATCGAGATGATAAGAGTATGTGGGATGTACTACGACAACTAGACATTTCGTTCCCGACTCAGTTTCTGCAGTCGCTCGATTCGGACGCGCAACAGTCAGCTGCAGGAGAGAGTGCGCTATACAATGAGACCTTTGAGCTTGCGCTAGAACTGCGGACACAACTAGCAATACTCGTCCTTCAGAAGTCGGCCGACAACAATACCTTTAATCCCGAAGAAACAATGGAGGAGGTTTTCTTTCGCTCTGACTCGTCACAGTCGATAGAAGCTGGTTCGCCGCTTCGTGGATGGGCCACAGCAGCTTTGGGCGGCGACGAATCAGCGCTACCCGAAGAATTCGAGGACCAGATTGTGACCCGAATAGACATGATCCGAGCCTCCTTCTTCCGGGATGGGCAAGATAGCCAAGCTGTTGACTTGCAACATCTGAGGTCAGGCTTTCCGTGGGAGGCAACCGTTCTTCGCCTGTTAGACTGGGTGCGTCTTCGGCACAAGGAACTCAAAACGGCCATCGATAATCTTGGAGGACCAAACACGATCATGCATAACCTCAGAGAAGCCCTAGAGGAACCTCAGCACGTCACTCAAACAGCGCCATCTGCTCCACGAGAATCATTGCGTAGAAAACGAACTTCGTTTGGACGAGACAGGCGGCGCAGTAGCCGTAAATTTGACCCAAATGCGAAGGTGGATTTGCGTGCTATTGATGTTTTGAAAGAGAAAGAACGTGATTCGGGTGTACATCTGGGACCCGCGGCTTCTCAGCCTGATCGTGAAGTGACTCTTGTTCAGCAACCAGTTGAGGAGGTGGAGAATGAGCAACCGGGAATGGGCGACCAGCCACAAGACGAACAACAGACCATGGTCGGAAGCGACACGGCTTCTCAGCAGGAGCATGAGGACATTCCTCAAGCGGTCGAAAAAGTGCAGAATGAGCAGCCGAGGACGGAAGACCAACAGGATGATATGCAGGTAGCAGATGAAAGCGACGGACCGCAGCAGCCCGATGACGAGCAGTCCGAACAGCAGCAACCCCTAAAACACACGGCAGAAGAAACCCGAATGGAAGAGCCCGAAGAACCAGTCGAAGAGCAGGTTGAAGCACCTCAAGCATCAGGCCCACCGCAAAGCTCAGCAGCTCTACTAAAAGCTCTGAAAGCCGTTCCAAAGCCGCAGAAAGAGAACCGCCCAGTATCGATATTCGATCGCCAACCAACAGCACAGCGCATCGAATTCGGCGACGGCTTCGACAGCACCCAACCAACACCCGGCCCGTCAAATACAGCCAAAGGAAAGCAACCCGCACTGCCATCCCCACGCAAACGCAAGCGCGTAATCGACATCTCCGACTCAGAATCCGACGAATTCGAAACTGCAGACCGCGGCTTCCGTGCCCCAGAACGGCGTCGCAACGCGCCCGTCTCAAAGAAACAGCGCACCGCTGAACCCATACCCTCTTCCTCCGCAGCACCAACTAGCCACCAGCCCCCTCCCCGCGCAGAATCCGAACAAGAAGAATCAATCTCCGAAACCTCTGCGCCCTCCATGTCCGAAGAACCTCCCTCGTCAACCTGGCCCGACCAACGGCGACTCGCAAAAGAGAACCGCGCTCTCGAAGTCACCACGCAAGAACGGGCGGCCGAACGCAAAGGCCGCCAAAAGTGGACGGACGACGAGGAAGACGCACTGATACAGTATATGAACATGTACCGTGGGAAATACTCGAAGATTCTGCAGCATGATCAGGATGATCATGGGCCGAAGAGGTTGATCAATAGGAATCAGGTTAATTTGAAGGATAAAGCGAGGACGATGGCGTTGCATATGATCAGGTATGTTTCCCTGTCTCGAACGGAAGATGATGTGGTCTATGCTAACAGAATTCCTAGATCTGGAGCTGGACTAAGACCAGGTTTTGAGATGATCATCCACCCGGGCATGAAGGAAGGCAAGGCTTTAATGGCCGCCGGATGGGTAATGCATGAAGATGGATCTTGGGAAAGGGCTGCTAGATGATCGTTGAAGGGTTGTTCGCTTGGATAGGATCTCCAGGACAGAGGCGTTTTTTGGTTGAATATTCTTGATACCCACCGCCGACATATCGGTCTTTTACTCAATCGTACAGTTGTTAGTTCTCAGACAGTTGTTTGCCTTGGTTATCAGGCAGTGTCCTTCATACTCGCACTTCTCTCTTCCCCATCTACCTGATTGTGAAGCAATCAAACCATCTCCCTCCACCTAACCCCCCACTCCCCCTTCGCAAAACTACTCTCAACAACCACACCCTTCATAACAGCCTCACACTTCTTCTTCTCACTCTCCCCCTCAACCGCAAACCCAAACGCACACCCCCTCCTCGCCGCCTTCCTCACCATCTCCCTCTCATCCGCTTTCCGCTGCCCCTCCCTCCGCTTCAACTTCATCTCGTCGGTCTCCTCGATGCGTTCAGCCCAGCCCTTCTCCCCGCCGACGCTGCCATTGACATCGTTTTGCTCTTGGGGTGGGCGGATCTTTCCGCCGCCGTAGCCGTATTCTACGGTGTCGGGGAGGGCGGAGGGGTCTGCGTCTGCGTCTGTAGAAGAGGCTGTTTTGGTGGGTTCGAGGACGATGCCGCCTTCGGCTTCGGCGTCGGAATCTGATACGCTTTCCTCGTCGCTGGTGTAGTCTTGTGGGGGTTGTTGTCGTGATGCTGCAGATGATGCGTCTGTCGCGCCTGTAGCAGGTGTACTGGACGCAGGTTGATCAACCATATCCACGCTCTTCCAATCCTCGGGCTTCTCGACTACGAAACGCGCTTTACGATTCTTGCGTCGTCCGTACACCTTTTCGGGGTCTTTTTCCCGCTGGAAGACTATCTCTTCTACTGTGCCGCATTCGATGATGATTCTAGTTTCTCCCTTGACGGTCTTGGAGGGCTTCTTCTTGTGTTGCTTCTTCTCGCCTTTTCCGAATTTGGTGTCGTCATGTGCATTCTCTGGATCTGCATTGTTCTTGACTGGGTCTGCTCCGGCGTTCTCTTTTAGTGATTCTGGTGACGCGCCGTTGAGGAGGGCGGCGAAGGTGGCTTCGATCTTGCGGTCGGTGGGACCTGGTTTGCTATTTCGGCATCTTGCTGAGCAGTACTTGACTGCCGTTGCGTTTTGTGTTTTGCGGCGCTCGCTGATTACTCGCCCGCAGCTGTGGCAGTAGGGTACTGTGTCGCCGACGGTGAGGTAGAGGGGTGGTGGGGTGACGGCGTGCTTGCTGGGCCGCGACCAGGAGTCCATCCACGACATCTTGCTGAAGTTCTGGGTGTTTTGTAGTGATAACGATCGGTATAGCTTATTCAAGCGTAAAATATGGGGTTGGCCTCGTGTGAATGTACGGTAGAAGATCGTCGTGCTTGTGAAGTTGGTAGAGAGGGTACGAGCGCACGACGTCATCGGCTGTTACCTACCTGGTACGCGGGTGTATGCAGGTACGAGGCTATGGACTGTGC